GATTTGTTCCCATGGCGTGGGTCCCCAGGCAGGTCCTGCTCCTGCTCATGTGGGGACATTGTCTTAAAGAACCTTACGAACACCCCCCTCCCCCATCAGCATGACATAATGACATTTGCCTTGGCACAGCCCAGTGTACTCCATGTCACACAAAAGTACGCCCTTCGCAAAGGGAGGGAGAGACCTTCAATAGCTGCGCACAAGATATTTTTTCAGCAACAACGGTAGTCCTGTGAGGATATAGGGCGTCGGGGTAAGAGTGGGGCTGGGGGGGTGACAGAGCAGACACAATCCCCTGCCAGAGCTTTCCTACCCTTGCCCCTCCCCTGACTCTGTCACTCTCCATCTCCCTAACCAGGTCTGGCACTCCCCTGTGCTAAATTTGATTTCAGTCCCGCATACCAGCAATTACAAAACATACAAAAACAAATACTGTTCCTCATTTTTTATTTTTTTGGGGAAGTCATTTTCTTTCATTAAGGTTAAAAAAAGACAGGGGCTTTTAAAAGCCGTGCTCTGTCCATTAGAAACAAATTCAAAATCGAGTGCATTTTAATTGAATTGGCACCCTTTTCTGCACATTTAGGTCCAAACCGAAAGGATTCAGGATTTTTAAAAAATAGTTTGGAACTGTAGGAATATAATGCATCAAAATTCAGATTCCTTCTGACGCAGGCAAAGAAGCCAGGTGCTTTTTTTCAAACATACCTTATCATGTATCGTTGTGATTGTTTGCAATGGTAATCTGTCATGTTACAAAAACTGCTGTAATTTCACTTGGATGGCTTTCAGGATATGTCTGGAATATTATTTCTTATCTGGAGGTCAAAGGCAGTCATAGCCAAAATGACATTCTTGGACACCTAAACGCTAACGTTTTTCCAGCGACAATAGCTTATGGCATACACTGTTTAGACTTGTTCATTGAGGCTTAATATCATAAAGTGGGTCGTCATGGCAACACCGTCTGTTTCAAAAATGAACTCGTCGTTAACAGCTGTAAACCGGCCTCTCCTCTCGGCCGTTTTGTAGCGTGTCCCTGGTGGAAATCGGTAATAGGAGAATCCCAGAAAATCGCATAATTTTCCATGACAGTGAGAAAGTCACCAGAGTGGAGAGAAGTGAAGATAGACCCCCCTCACCACCCCCCTTCCTCTGAAGACAATACATTTTTTTTTTTTTGATGCCAGTTTGATCTTGTTCTCCCCATTTTCCTTGCCTTGACAATTATATCCCTTAACGAACGTGTGCAAATGAAACTGCTCACAGAATGACTCTGCAATGCTCATTTCCAGAATCTTCCGTGGCTCCCTCCTCCAACAGGTACCCTCTTCAATTAGGTACTGGAATGTTTACAAAACTCCTGTCTGGTCTCAAATGCTTTTGGCCAGATTTGTCAGAAATAAATTCCCTTTCGTGAGTTCCAACAGTGTTAAAAAACACTGAGGGATCAATAATTGGAAAACAAAAGCAAAAGTTTCCTTCAAAGGCTCCCTGTCAGAGACCATCCAAATGAAAAAAATTAATGTGCCTCAAAAGTGTTACAGGGATTAGCGGCAATATGGAACAGATATGGGTTATTTACTACATGATAAATCGTCCTGTCATAGGAATCTTGTTCTCCAGTATGAAATAGAGAAAAAAAAAACAGTTCCATAAACAAGCATCAGTCTTGCACAATACAGAAGGAAAAAAGAAAAACACAATAGCGCATCTTCAAACTTCCATTTAAACTTCCCGTGAATTCAATGGTTTGGCCTGTCCATTGTGATGTCAGAAAAGTTCTGCCAATCAGAGCCCAGAGCCCATCTCTCACCATTCAGCAGCCTTTCATAGGGGCGAGAGAAAGATCTTCCACCTAAGCGCGGCTGACAGGTTACATTCAGAGACAGCGCTTGAGCGAGAGCCGCGGCACGGACAATTATGCCACCGTTCCTGCCGCCGCTGCCGCGCATCAGCACCCGGGCTGAACTTGACCCAGATCCCTCATTATCAATTCTGAGCCTCATTCAGCCGCTTGTCAGGGGCAGATAATAATTCCTTCAGTCAAGCGGGGGCAGAATGGGCTGTGGCGCAGAGGTGACGGGGGAGAGGCAGAGACAGCTGTTTGTATTTACAGCCCATTATGTTCCTAGAGCCCCTTTTTTTGTCTCCCAAACATTTATGACAATATTTCTTTCCATCCTGGAGTTTCACGGGAATGCCGTGTGTTCCTAGTGATCGTGAGATTAGCTCTCATATGACACCTTGGTTGCCAGACACCCCACATCCCCCACCACTCACTTCTACGTAGTTCAACAGCAGAGTCCTGTCACTATCTGGCACCCTTAAAACCCCGTATAGCTCTGCCTTGCTGCGGATTACTGACCTTTTGTTTAATCAGGCGCATGATTGGATATAAATACACAGGGGCCCACCAGCAGAGCTGGCCACGGGCTGCACAGGGGTGCTTAGAAGCTTAGAAGCAAGTACCTAAAAAACTATCAAATGAATTGGAACAGCAACATTGGCAAGTCGTGTGTAAATGATATAATGAAACTGAGATGACTTTTTTCTCAGTTTTATCAGGCAGGAAAACTTTCATAAAGTTCATAAAGTGCCCTCTGTTATACACAAAACAAATATATTAATCTTTGTTTACTTTTTTGCTGACTTCAGACGAAGACCAGCAAGCTATGGCTGATCCTGCTACTGCTGATTTAAAGAATTCAAACCAATGAGAGAGAGTGTGCATGGAGAAGGGGGACCCCGGTGGTAAAGGAGAGAGAAAGGCAGACTCACGCAGACATTCGTTGGCCTCCCGTGCTGTGGCCCTTTGCCAAGGCCGGTCATAGTGGAAGGGTTTGCATCGGTCGCACTCGGGGCCCTCAGTGTTGTGCTTGCAGTCGCAGACCAGCTTGCCCTCCTTATCCTTCAGGCACCGCGAGGCGTGTCCATTGCACTTACAGCGCCCACCCACCTGGAAGTCTCCCACCGCATAAAAGTACGTCGGCATGGGTGAGGATGGAGCCGAAGGGTCCTCCTCCCGGCCGGCCCCGGCCAGGTCGCGGGGCAGCTGCGGGCGGCTGAATACCACGCGGATGTCGGTCAGGGTCACCCAATCCTGCAGGACGGGGCTGTTGTCGAAGTCCTTTCCGGACGGACGGCCATCCAGGGTGCTGAAGGCAATAAGGCCTCCGGAGAGGGGATGGAGGTCAGTGTGTCCATCCGTGCACAGAGCCTCCTGCTCATTCTGCTTTGTGATCGCTGCCTTGTTGGGCCGACTGTACATGCGCCGGCATTGTGAGGAATAGAACTGGTACGGCGTCCAGGTCTTGCCGTAATCCATGCTCTTGAAGATGGCCAGGGACTCGGGCCGTGGCGAGCAGAACTGGAGGCTAACATAGGTGATCTCGAACTTCTTGCCCAAGGACAGTGTGAGCGTGACGTTGTGCGGAGAGGTGTGCAGGTTCTCTGACTGCCAGCAAGTGAGGTTGTGAGCCGAGTTGAGGTCAGTGAGGTAGGAGGCGGGATGGGCCCGGCGCGGGTCCGCGGCGTCACAGATCTGGCAGGTGCGCACGGCCGGCTTCTCCTCACGCTCCACCACGCTGCAGGACCGAGACGGTGGCCGGCCACACGTGCCGGACACCTGCACCTCCTTCCCGAACGCGGCGTTGATGAACTCGGGAATGCATCTCCGGGCGGCACCGTTCTCGTCGTAGCAGGGATCTGCGGGGCTCTGCTGGATTGCGAACGGGTTGCTACTGGATGCTGCCGCCGCCACCAGGGTGAGGAGGCAGGCGCCCAGCAGACATCTCCAAGCGGCACTCATTCTGCTGCTCGAGCCTCAGGGCGAGGGCGCGTCCTGGTGAGCTTCACCTCCGAGCTGCCCTCCTCCGAGCCTGTGGGCAGAAGCGAAGAGTGCTTGGCTTTAAAAGACGTGCAAGAAATTGTAATTGTTATGTTGACAGGAAGAAGCTCTGAGAGCTGAGTCCTGTTGACAGCATTTCATGATAAAAGACAAGATGGGTGGCAACTCTCTGTAAATATAAATTAATGTAAAACACCATTCGCAAGAGAAAAGCCCCTAATCGGAAACAAGCACACAAAGCATTTCTCTGGGTTGTGAATGTCAGTGAAGGTGAAGATACTTCGGAAGCTGTGTTTATGCTGTTTGGCAATATGTGCAAGAAATGTGACGGTCATCATTATGTGTCTCCTTAGACGTGAAGCCAGGAACAGTGCAGGCAACAGTGTGAATTAGTGTTAGCCAAGGACTTCAGCAGCATTCTTCTGTGTGATGATGATGATGATGATGATAATGGAAAACGTGCTGGTGTGCCTGGATACCCTTGTGTCACAAACCTTACGATAGCTTTGCAATCAGGTCAATGATGGCAAAAAGAAAATAGCCCTCGAGTAGGATATGGATGAATCATTTAGTGCTGAGTGCACAGGGAGGATCCTGTAATGTAGAGCATGACAAGAAGAGCATTAAAATGTCATAAACAAAATGCTGAGGGCAAAAAAATGATCCCTAGGTGACTCTATGTCTGAGGAATGGGTTTATGTGGGCATATGACAGCATGGGCTTGAGTTGAGCATCTGTACACATACGAGTCAACAGGTCTATCCAGACTCAAAGTCATTCTCCATCCGCAGAGTCGCCCGCTAGGGTGATCATCGCCTGCAGCAAGCGCATTTAAAGTAGCCCATTTAAAATATTAGGCTGAACTTTTATCAAAACGCATTTAGCATCAGCAAAATGGAGTAAGAATCAGGTCAAGGCGCCCGTCACGCCTGCCCGCAGTTCCCTCACATCTGATACCCAGTCATGCTAATTTTTTTCCAGATCGGAAAGAACCTCCCCATGTTTCTTTCGGGAGGGGGAATTTTAGTTCTGAGCCATGGCCGGCTACGTGCTACTAACACATAGCTAGCCTGCTCCAGTGCGGCCAAAAGGCACACAGCCACTGGCTGAAGCGCACTGCGGAGGCAGCCCACACTGTGCTGCAGTGAGAGATGTTAGGGGTGGCTGGCGGGCCTCCTGGTGAATGTCAATGACGCCGCCCATTCAGCACCTCAATTCAGATCTCTGTGTGGGATTCCAGTCAGGCGCGCACCTCTCCAGAGCTGCAGAGAAGTCACAAGATAATCCAGGTCTGTGTGAGATCCGGGCCTCAGCCTGCCAGCACGCTTTACAAAAAGCTAAATAAAAACCAAGGGTCGGAAAACAAGAAGCTTATGGTATTCACAGCACACTGCGCGATAGCCAACTGGCTAACAGGGCAAAATGGATCCTCCCCTATTGGAATCTGCCCTTCTGAGGACATAATTAGCAAAATGTGACCTGAAATTAGCAGTAACAAACTCACACTCAGCAGCTCCACCTCCTGATAACACGTTTCACGCTTCGAGGCGGGAGTGACATTTCTGCAGTCTTCAACTCATGGCACCAAACAACTGCCTACATACAGTGCTGAGTTTGCCGAGGGCGACACTCTCTGGCACTTAAGCACCCATCCTGGAAAATGGGTCCTGGGATGGGAAAGGTGAGCGGTGGAGGTTAAAACCCATTTAACACCCCTGGCACGGTACCCCTCCCTCGCACTGCAGGGCCATTTTCACACGACAGGTTTAATGATAATCATCCTTGGTGGAACGAGCCCTAAAAATACACTTCAGAGAACCTAGTGCGGATCACACAGCAGAGCGGGTCCTAATTGGGGAATGCAGCACTCCCCCTGGCCCACCCCATGTCCCTGTATCGCGAATAATGTCAAGGACCAGCCCCCAGCCCCCCAGCTCTCATCACTTCTTGCTCACTTCCCAGGTTGTCAGGAGTAGCCCCATTCTGGGAACACATCGAAGGGCCAAGCCCCCCCCCCCTCCTGGTCCCACTTCTAAGTATTTACTAAAACCACAATGAGCAACTATTATGCAGCACCTCACTCTTCCACTATGCCCCCCCTCCAAGAATCAGACTCTTACCATTTCTCTCCCTCTTGTGCCTGCCCTTCTCTTTTGGAACAAAGGCAGGCCATCAAGGGTGCCCTGCCACTTCAAAAGCGAAAGTAAGTTCTCTTTCTTTCTTTCTTTCTTTTTTATTGGACCCAAACATAGCTACTGTCAAAGCGGAGGAGAATGGTCCCATTTGGCCGGCCAACAGCAACCCCCCCACCCGACAGTGCACAACACCGCCTCTGAAGCCATTCTCCACCACAATGCATGTGTGTGTGTGTGTGTGTGTGTGTGCATTCACGCAAAGAGGGAGTTGGCCCGGTGGGTAGGCTTGAGGGTGTCCTGCGTGCCTCCAGGGCCTTCTGCAAAGAGCCGCCCCGCCACAGCCGGGCCAGGACACGGGAGTCAGAGATACCGGCTTGCAGAGGACCCCGCTGATATAATTAGCAACTAATTAGCATTCCCCAAGCTTCCGTCAGCACTGCGTTAATGAGCGGCAGAGGAGAAAGGGAGAGGAGAGGGAAAGAGGAGGGGAACGGAGTGTGTGTGCGGATGCATGTGTTGGGGGTGTGAGGAAGAAGCAGAGAGGGGAAAACGGAGACTGATGGAGCTCAAAGACAACAGGAGTAGCCTTCAACTGGCCATCTGTGCCCAAATATGGAGAGCTACACACAACCGTCCGCAAGTTATTTCTTACTGCCCCCGAGGGTCTGTTCCTGTCATCAAAGTGTAAACAGAAACCAAAATCCCAACACCACTGTTTAATACAACTTTTACAGCCCCCTGCCACCAAGAAAAAATATGTTAATAGTGTCAAAGTGGGAGAGTCCAGAAGAAGCAACAGAAAATTATATGTAAACAACCAAAAAACCAGAGGAACTCCAGACAACAAATCTTACGAGAAAAAGCTGAAATTTTAAATGTCCCGTGTGCCTAAACTTTGATACATAAATCAGGTTTATGATGCCAGTGTGTAATTTCTGAAATCTTAATGTTTCCATGGCTGCTCAGGGGAATCAGACCTGATAGGACAGTAAGGAGCCTTCCAGTTTGGGGGGGCCCAACACTGCAGGTTTGAGGGAAGCTGGAGAAGCAGCTGGAATGCTCCTGATTAGTCGCTCCAAGCTTCGGTGATGAATCCCTTTCTTGTCTCATCCCAGAAACGATATTTGAGGGCAAACCAGACGCAAAAAAGGGAAAGGCAGAGCCGTGAACGTGGGCGGCTACCAGGAACACCCCCTTCTGCGCTTTGTCAGCCATGTCACAGTGTCCCCTGACCTTACAGGCAGTGCACTGGAAACGCGGGGGAAGGGCTGCCATTTTAGTTGTTTTTTTTTGGATAGTTAAATATTTGTTCTTATGACCATAGTTACATTTTTAAAAAATTAAACATACTTTCATCTCTATTGATCTGTGGATATATCACTCTGATAAATAGTGTAAAACTGAAATAATTTTTCAGGAAACACTGAACTCACTCAAACTCCAGCAGCAAAACTTTAATCTTAAATCTTTAATCTTTCTTAAATCATTTGAATTCATAAGAGCTTTTTACTGTCTGGATTGATATTACAGGTATTTTGTCAGATCCTTATGTTTAGCTAACACTCTTGTCTATGCCTGTAAAAACCAAATATTTTGAATGGATGGTCAGGACAGTGAAGCTAACTGGCTCCATACAGACGACCATATAGGCCAACAATTTCCAAACATTTTGAAAGTTATCTGAGTTCTTCTGGGTATCGAGTGCACTCCACTTGGGACTCAGCTGGGGGGTGGCAGGGACAGAGGGAGGGTGGTCTTGACGGACAAATTCCGGAGAACGTTTTTTCAGCTTTGCCTGTCACCAGGAGATCATCCCACGTTGCGCTTCTTTTCTTTCAGGGTGTTTTTTTTTTGCCTTTTTTTTCGCCTCTCATAGTTAAGAGATTAAAATAACAAGGGGTGCTGAGAAGCGTTCCCTGGGTTGGGAGAGGAGCAGAGAGAGAGGGAAGACAGACAGCTTGAGGAACCCCACACCCTGGCCTAAGATTTCGGATTGTGGCAGCAGGAAGTGGCCCCCCCCCCCCCCCATAATTGGATCCTCTCTTTGTTGATCTGACCAGCTGAACCTGTGTGAAGGTTAGTCCGAGCCCCCCACTGTTCTAAGGTCCCATGTAATCCCAGGTTGAGCTATAATCAGCTTTACCAGGCACTAGGGGGTTCAACCAAAGACCATCAGCAACCAGATTAAATTAATTTATCCCTTTTGCTGTCAACTCCAAACAGAACTACAGACCGAACCAGGCATCTGGTTACAAGAATGCTGTCAATACATTTAAATATCTCTACAAGTGAATAAGCTGGTTATGGATAACTGTCTCTCTTTTCAGCTTAGAAGTAATACATCCATTTTCTAAACCCTGCATATGTCCTACGTTCTGTAACTATCTTACACAAAAAGCAGTGACTTATTCAGCTGCTGTGATTATTGGTTCATGCTCACACAAAACATCCTCCATGCCAACTGGCTACACCCCGTTACTTCTCATGCATTTTCTAAAGCCTCCAGATGGATAAACGAAGTCTCCATTGATGGGAAAACTCCTCAGGTAATAAAGGCCAGGTGTCAACTGGCTCAAACCCAGCCTGGGGACAGTCGGACAGACACCAACTGTATCCTTTGATGAGTGCCAGGAGGAAGGCAGGGACACCGTGGTCACAGCCCAAGGGGCCCATAAGCCGCTGGATCACAGACAGGCTGACACCCTCAAAAGCATAAAACCTGGCGCTGAAGCTTTCCTTCCTCGGTGTGTATTCCGAGAAACTTGCTTTCCATGCCGGAAGCATATCTGCAGATACTTGGTGCGTCACCGAGCTTGGTGTAAACTTCAAGCAGGCCCGACCCGCGAGGAGTGTAAAGGCAGTCAGCCCACCAGATGTGCTGTCTCTGGCCCGTCTTCCATTGCGCTGTGATCCCACACACTCACATATGCCACTGTGTGCTGTTAGGCGGCGTCACAAACCCTAGACTCATTAAAATACTTTTTGCGCTCCGCTCTTCCTGCTCCGACGGAGAGAACGCCCATGCAAAAATGTGGCGGCTCCCCCAACCCATTTCTCCGGCTCCCAATTCCAGTGCTGAGGATGAATGACTGAGAAAAATCTATGGGAACTCCTCAGACATGTCTGGGACAACTGAGAAGATGGGGTAGTGCACCAAGTTTATCTTGGATGCAAGTACACAAATTAAAAATAGGAGAAACAGCCAAAACACTAATATTTAACACATTTAGATTAACCAAATAAACTAGAAAGTAAATTACATGCAACAGAAAGAAAGGGTTTGGGCTTTCTGCCACGCAAACCTCTTAGCACAGTTACTTGTAAATCTGTTATCTGGTACAACACTAAATAGTGATACTCTTCAGGATGACCTTCAGGACTTTTCCTGGAAGGCGACTGAAAAAAACACTGAGGCCTGTTTGTCGATGGAAACGCTGCAAAGACCTGTCACCTGATGATACTGGGTAAGAGTCACATGGAAACACATCGCAGGTTGACAATCCTAAATAAACATACAGCCAGGTGACCTAATGAGATCTGGTACACAGGAAACTCCCTCAGTAAAACACTTAATTCTATACTTAGACAGTAATTCTAATCCATAGTGTAAATCTTGGTAAGTACTCATCTATTTTAGTAGCAATTCAATCTAGGCTTTGAGGAAAGTCTTGGTTGCATTTCTATCAATATAAAATTACAAAAAGCAAGAGGTCTTTATTTGCCTAGTAATATTAGAGCATACCAAGGACACAGGTACACTACATTAAGGTGCAAAATGTGACTTCAAATTTCAAGCAATTTTAGAATTCATAAGAAAAGCCAGGAAGAGGTAAGAAAGACGAGGCGTCACAATGCAAGGAATGATATAAACCAGGTTATTTCTCTATGTGGGCTCTTCTGATCTCTGTATCAGTGACACTCCAGATTAAACCATGTAACATAAATAAACAGAAAATTTTGCAATGATGTAAACATGTCAAGCATTCAGCGGCACAAATGACTGATTGTGACCACAGAAGGGATTCAGCACCATGGATAGATCCTGAAGAAAGGAACGTGTTGGTCAGTTCTCTTGGGTGGATGGTTACCGAAAACATTGCAGAAACGCAACGTACAGAGAGGCCTGCACTGCCATATTCCTTCCGCACTAAAAGGAAGCCGGAACATTTGCAGATCACCGTCTATTTCTGCATAGCCAACTAGACTTTCAACTCTTCATGATTTGGGCCACCCTTCACATTTTTACTGAAGAGAATATATTTTGCGATAGATCAGTAACTACACTGATTTATGAAGCATGTTTGCATCCAGTCATTTTGCTTGCATAAGTGCAAAGTTGCATCACCATAAGATGACAGAAGTATAGCCATTGTTGGGAATGTCACATGCCTCTTGATGTCTCAGCTTTAACATTTCCAATCATTTCACAAGCCTCTGGAACCCAGCAGTCTTTTCCCTTATGTTGGCTCCCTTCCCTTCCCTTCAAATCATTAGTTCCCAGATTCATTTCATCCATTCTTGCTGGTAAAGTGGGATTCCCTCTCCAGAAGGGGTTTTGCAAGTGGGAAGCGGGTTTGACCATGGAGCAGCGGCCTCCGGGGCCAGGTGTTTCGGATGTAAATCAGTGAAAGTGGCCCACCAGGCACTGCTTCTTTTCGCATTCCCTTTGCCCCCAAAGGGCTCCGGCTCGGTGCTGCGGTAGGCAGCCTGCGGTTTCTGCAGCACTCCAACAGGAAGGCTGCATTTTCCATTGCACAAGTGTGTCGCGAGCAGCGAGGCTCGGGCCGCTTTGAACTGCGGGGGAAACCGCAAATCATTTTATTAAGCTCTCAAATACCGACGTGCATTACTGAGCGTGCCAGGACTTTTCAAAAGAAGCTGGAGTCATTAAACCCCCTCCCCTTTCCCATCCTCTGCCCCCCCCCCCCCCCCCAACAAGCATTTTCTGCTGTGTTCAATCGAGCCGATTTAGCAAGCCAAACGGAAACGGTACTTTCCCAATCTGAAAGTGACGGCGTATTCACAGTCTCCAGGCGACCGCGGCAACTGGGCAGACATATTTCCTATTTATCCGAATTGGTAATTGTGTGCATAAACTGGCCGGGAATTGTAGTCACACCCTTTGGAAACCTTGAACTGGATTATGTTCACAACCTGTTACTAGCATTCCATGTCCAGTGTGTGTGGAAGCCAGGGGAAGGGAAACGACTGGGCTCTGTGGTCGGGTGCGAGTCTGAAGCGAGTCTGAAGCATGTGTGACAAATGAGGCAGCCAGAATGCCAACGGTGAAAGAGGGGGGGGGATGCAGAGGAGAGTAAAGAGAAACGTCCCAGCTCTGTGTGTCTGCCACAGCAGAGAGGAATAACAACCCCTGATGGGGAGGAGAATAAAGACTGAAGGAAAGGGTGTCTAGCCGGAGAACATGCAACCTGGGTATCCTGCGTATCCGCAGCATCTGGAGGAAATCTGAGAGGATGACACATGCACTTAGCCAGGCCCGGAATCACTGTTGACTGGGATGAGACATCCCCGCACAGATTTCACAGGAAGCGACCTTCTGCAAGGTTCAGCAATGACTAATGATGATTAGCTAAAAAACAAAAAAAGACTCCTTCACGGACAATAAGCCGTACACTGATCTCAGACAGAAAGTGGCACTTGTCATTTAAACCTACCGCAGTTGTTTACGCACAGTGACACTGAGTAATAGCCCTCATGGTGTTGAGAATGCCTAAAATGTAAGGAAACTCCCAGTTAATTAAAGTACTTCAGCCTTCCAGTTAGTTATGACCTGATTATATCAATTTACTTTTCATCACAGACCATCATTTTATGGTTAAACTATAGAATTCAATGCAACATTATATCACTTAAGCTTTTGAAAAAAGGCCCCCAATTTGAAAAGCGATTTATTCCTAACAGAAAGTCACGGGGACAGTGAAGGCAGGTGGGGGTGTAGAGGATTTAGAGTAAAACAAAAAAAAAGAAGAAGAATTTACATGAGGTGATGCTTCCCGTTCTGTGTGCGCATGCCAAAGAAACAGGGAGAAGCCTTTTGTTTCAAAAAGGGGCAATGACCTGCTCCACTAGAGAAGGTGGGGGGGGGGGGGGCACAGTGGGGGGGAGGATTTCCCGTGCCCCCGTCACCTGCTCGGGGTTGCAAAAGGCTCCTTCATCCGACGGGGGCATCATTACGGCTCGGCTGGGCAACAGGAGAGGTGCTCCCCCATCCCTAAACGCTCACAAAGCCGGTCAGATCATCTCACCGACACTAGGCGCTCGGAGGTAGCGACAGACGGCGAGAAGAGGAGCAGAAGCGGAGGCCACGCCGGGCTGAGCCTCCCCCGGGGCTCGGGGCACAAAGCGGAGAGGCACGGCCATGCCGCAGCTGATTATTACGAACCGCATGGGAAGGCAAGGGCGTCGGCCTGCATCTGACACGTCTGCCACTAATGAGGGGATTCGGTCAGGAAATAAAAGAGCGTATCAATTAATCAGCTGGGATCTACTTTACGAATCAATCGCCGTCTCAGAAGGTGATTCCATGTGTCGCCGGCACCTCATTCATGGGGAGTGAAAGCGGAGAACTGACTCGGCACAAAGGCTGATGTTACCGCACCTGTTTCGGCCGACCACATGCGGGAGCCCGGCCCCGCTGATGGCTCACAGCGCACACGCCATATCGGCAGAGAAACTGATGACCAGAGACACGGCAAGAATGCAAGCCATCCCTCTCCATTGTCAAGGGGTGTGTTCCAGGGCGAAAAAAAAAAATGTATCTCATTTCTTTGTTGTCAAGACCAGTATAATTAACTGAAGCACAACTTACAATTTGCAGTAAGTACAATTTGCAGTAAATTGAAGAATTCATAGACCAAAATATTTGTTCATTCATCAAAATATTTCTCATGAGCCCTGTACTCAGGCCCAAGTGAATCTTTTTTCTGGCCTATTGCTGTTGTCCATATGTAAATAAAAATATCTGATCTTGCAGGTGACCATCAGACAGCCACAGAAATAAATAAATATTTCCCTGAAATGAAAATCTGATACAGTGCTATTGGTTTCCAATTTCATTTCAAACACTAATGTGGGACTGACTCCAACATAAATTACAGGTGTAGTAACAGATTATTAAAATACTCTCCGGCACGAAATTCACTGAGTAAATTCCCTAGTCTTCCACTAAACGAGTAGTTCGGGGATCTCATTAACAATTCCCTTTCTAACAGGTTAATACCAGTCAGAGGGAGTTAATTTAGTCCTTGAGTCGATTAATTATACTAAGATTAATTACACAAAGTAATTGTTCAAACCTCGGATTGCTTTTTTTACGTATCAGTGATTGTCAAAAAATAGAAAGAGATATCAAATTATCTTATCGCACTATTTTTTTTTTTAATGGAACTACGTTACTGGATAATTGTACCTCTAACTGGGCAAGGCGAAAATATATAGTTCCGAACGCACATGTTCATATATTTTTAAAATGAAAAGTAACGACACGATTCCTAGAAAAAAAAATGCTTTGAAAATAAAATACGTGTATTGCATAACAGAACAAATCAGTTATTGTTTTTATAAGATGAAAAACATTCCATTGTCTTATCTTCACCTTGCGTTTTGTCCTTTTTTCATTCAGTGTTTGTTGGAATATTTATCCAACTAATGTGCGGTGAAATCATACGTTCAAATCCGGCGAAACAAGCTCGGCATGCCGACAAGTCAAACACAAGAGATTGAGAAATTCGGCCTTCCTAGCTTCGGCAAATTAATAGTAGGAGCCGCAAGGTGTTGCTTTGTTTGGCACGGCTCTCTGGGTCTACAAGGAATAATTACAAAAACACATACTGGACGCTGACTGATCCAACTCAGTCGGAGGATTTTTACGCTAAGCTTATACTCCCCTCGACATGAAAACCAAGTTAACGGGACATTTCTTAAGTTTATACCCCGCTTTCAGGGATTATAGGTTACACCTGCCCTCCTCGTCCGTACGATCACTACATGAGTCGTGCAAGTTTTATGTAACGTGCAATTACAGCAGCGCAATTATAATGATTAAATAAATAATGTTGAAAGAACATGAAAAAGTGACGTTTTCGCCAATATTGCCGTGTACACGTCAATCACCGACAGTTTCATTTAGTGTACGTGAAGATACACGTTTAGTTTCTTTTCCTAAGAAAATATGGCTTTAATATCTTCATGGATAAAATTCTATTTATATGGCCTCTTTATAACCTGAACAGGACACCTTCATTTTTAAAGTTTGTATGATTGTACACGTTTCTAAATTAATGCATGTTTTATGTTTTATGCTGTGCTACGCATGCCAAAAAAACTATTTTCTTTTAACATGTAACAATGCACTTCCACGGTTAATACAGACATGCCAATTAATATAAAATCAAGTCAGCAGTTATTTTGTTTGCCAAAATTAACTCGCAATGACAGACGCTTAAAATAAAACGTTTTCCTAACCCATGAAATTATTTCCAGTTTACAATAACAGACACGGTAATGGGAACGCGTGTGGAAACTTACCAATGATGTGTCAATTCCTAAAATAAAACTCCTTTTAAGAAAAATTTTTTTTAAAAAGAGACAATCCAGCCACTGGAATCTAAAAACTGAAAATATAATGTAACCGTAAAAATAAAATAAAACCACCCAAACGACGAAAAGTGTTTTTTCTCTCCGTTTTACTTGTGTATGTCACAATTAGTATAGCTCTGCCGGCAAGTTTAGGCAGTAAAAGCACAGTTTACAGCCCTTACTGCATTTACTGCTCCACGCTGATAGCTGTCTTGAGCGACGCGGACAAAGCAATAAGGTGAGAAACTGCGCTCGGCTGCTGCGTTTAAACCGAGTATGAAAGCCCCAATAGATCCATAGGTTGAAAAGCGGGCGAAGGATACTCCCCATTAAAATCAATTCCAGACTTTGAAAACATTGCTCACAAGAGCCCCGTGGCTCATAGTCGAAACCGCACAGAACGAGAGAGAGAGAGAGAGAGAGAGAGAGAGAGCGGAGGGAGAAAGAGAGAGAGAAAGGTGGAGGCAATTCACAACTTTACCATCGAGTCCATATTAATTCAATTAACATCAAAACAGCGCTTGGATCTTGTATCCTTTCCGTGCCGTCTTGGGAGATAAAAAAAAAGATAGAATGCCTGAAATCATTAATAAAACCTAAATAAAAGTGAAATTTATGTACATGTTAGAAAGGAAAGCGTCCTACTGGAATATTTATATTTATAGATATGTAGTCTGTGTTATTGTAGTAACAGGGAAACCACAGTTCCCCCCCCCCCAAAAAAAAAAGTTACAAAAAACCGTGGAGATGTGATCGCGGTAAAACGAAAGACGACGTAGATCGTGTTTTCACTGGCAACCATATGGCGCTCGTAAAGAGGGCACGAGACACGGCACTTGTTGAAACGGAGTATATGGCGCTTAGAGGCACGGAGAAACTTTAAGGCCGACCTGATTCATATTACATACTTTAAAAAAATATAAATAGGCTTCTGCATATGAAGTGCACGCAGGGGTATGACTCGACAGCCATTAATGGGACCACAAATGATTTTTCTCCCACACTGTTGTGTTTCTTGAAAACATTAAAGGTAAATAAAATTATTTACAATTCAGCCTCACAAATTCACACATTTTGAAGTGTTACATGAATAATGTACACACTTAGGATTTGTGCCACTTGCTATGCTTTGAACCCTGGTTTTAAAGAGCAGATTTACAGGAGGCTTAGATGCATTAGGTCATTTTGACCTACACAGTAGACTACTCCTCAAATACTGTACGCATCTAAACAAGCGAGAAGAGAGATGGCAAATGTGGCCAGCAGCAGCAGATGGAAGGTATTAAAAGGACAGCATTGCAGGAATCAGAAACACCCAGCAAGTAAATGAAAAGGCAAATCATAAATATAAAGCTGAAGTTAATGCACAGTTCAGCTGTAAGTGGCCTGAATGAGACAAGAAAATCTGTTTCTTGTCTCTTTGAATTATTGTCCCACCCCCATTCTGTCACATTCAGTTTAAGGGCAGAACGGATTTTAATGCCGTTGATTGTGGAAGTGACAGAGCAAAAACCTGGCTATCAATCTCAACACCTCCTCTATATCATGCATAGGGGACAGAACACATTCCTGCCTTCATCCCCTTAACTCCCCCCTCAAAATTTCGTACCATCTATCCTGGGTGTGTGTTTTTGAGGGCCTGTACACAGTGCTGGATTCCCTTGACTCCATTTTAAGAAGATCAACATTCTTGCTGTATTTACTGCTCAAATTGCTCACTTGGGATCGGACCTTAAATGGAAAATATCGCAAGTGCTGAGCGATCGCTCTCCTCCATGTTGTCCACCAGCAGGGACTGGGCCACGTTTAGGTACATTAATTACCTCACTGTACTGGCTTTGATTCCTACATTATCAGAGGCCAACCAACAAAAAAAAGGTGCTTGGCCTTGTACACACAAACACATGCCGAGTGCATGTATGACAGGAGTGGAAGAGCAGAGGGGGCTTGGGGTAGGGGGCAGAGTGCTAACCGCCCGCAGCCCACCTGCCTGCTTGCTAAATTATGGCCCCGCGCTCAGCGCTGGAGATTCGCTCAGAGGAGGAGGCCTGAATTTCACGGCGAGCGCCGTAATCCACCGACAACACAGGAGTTATGGGATCGACAACAACGGATTTCCTGACGGTCTGGGGACTCCTAATTTACGTCTCAGCTTTCGCTCCGTTCACTCTGTCTGCCGTCGCTGCCTCTGTCTGTGGTTACGGAAAAAAAAAACAGGAGAATATGCCCATCTTTCATTTTCATTCAGATCCCAGATCTCGCACACTAGAGATGTAGCTCTCCTTCATTCTTAGCAAAACTGCGTTTAGTGCTACTCCGCTATGACAACTTATGACCTATTCATCATGTAACCGCAGCATCTGAGATCCAAATGCATCCCACTGAGACATGATGGGCAAGTGAGTCCTACACAGATGGATTTAGGTCACTATGCACCTCATCGCTGCAAATGCAGCATATCTACGCCAAAAACCTTCCGTCTTAGGTGTAAGTCCTGTGCTTTTGGGGGTTTCATGCTCCCTTTTCCTGTAAAAGCATCTTGTTTGTGCCTGAATGCTGGGATCGCTCACAATAATCGAAACCTTGTTTCTGCATGAATCATTAATGAATGTTACGTGTTATGCAAGCACACGAGGGGGGGGGTCGTCTTCGCCTTAAAAATTCAGAGGCCCAGTAGCCCGTGGGGAGACACCAGCGCTGTAGAGATCGAGGCGGCGCCCCTTCCTGGTCCCGCCAGCTGAGGCCGAGGCTGTGCCACACCCCGCCCCCCCCCGTGACGGGGGTCACCTGCGAGAGCTCCACAAAAGGGACCCTCTCCTTCAGCGCCACGGCAACCGTCCCCACGGTGGCCTGGAGCTGCCGGCAAACCACATTGCTCTGAAGGTAATTACATAAATCCATAAATAACGACCTGATCCAATTTGCATGCGGCTTTGTGGACGTCTCCCTCCCTCACACACCCTGCCCGCTTCAGTCTCCCGCCCTTACACCGCTCTGCTTTGCCAGCAAGATAAATGTCAGCGGTCATCCTGCGCCTGACGCACCCCCCTAAATTAGCTCCATCCATCACGGTGGTGCAGCAGATTCTCAGCCTTCCTCCTTTTATCTTTCCAGGGGAAGCGCTCCAGTGGAGCGCACAGTCCACACATCCGCGCGCTCCAGATAACCTGCCTGCCAGCAGGTGGCCCCGCCCCCCCCTCCCCGTGTACCGCCATTGCCCATGCTGGCGGAGGCCTCATCTTGCGTCCCAAAAAATTAGGTACCGGTCTCTCCTGGTGCATGTCCCGCCGCTGGCGAAACAGAGGCCAGTCACTCCGGAACAAAAACCAGGATGAAACAGCCACGTACGGCTGGACATGCTAACACTTGCACATGCAGCTGTCGAGAAACAGGTCTTCGCTCGCTCCCTCCACACCGTGTGCGGCTGACTCTGCGCTGGGGCGCGCCTCGCTGGCCGTGTTGCGGGGGGGGGGCAGTAATTCCCCCCATTAGCCGGTGGTACCTGTGCGTGCTACAGGCTCAGGACGACTGACACGGAACCTTCTGGCAAGAGGCCCTGATCCCGGTTTTGTAAAGTTTTCACAACTGCAAACGAAGCAATGAAATACAAAACACCACATAAGTGTAATAAATAAAAATCATTTATCTATTTTTTTTGGAAATGTAAGTATGATAAATCTGTAAAAACAGTTCATGTATACATGATGTGTGTATATGTAGTGTATAATCTGTATGTATATGTATGTATATATATGATACATATTCATATGTCTGAGATTCACCTGCATAATGACTATCAACATGGTATTAACACCTCAGCAGTTACATGGCTGTCCGCCATGCTGATCTCTGCGTGCTGAAACCGCTCTGTTAGTCACATTTGTATGCATTTGCAGTGAGGATTCTCTGAAATAGCTTAACACATAACCCCCCCTCTCTTGGCCACCACTTAGTCCAGCCCAACAATTGATCAATTGCATTATAAAGCCGCTCTAGGTAAGAAGTGATGGGGGTGGGGGGGGGAGATGAATTTGTGTCGCTGGAGCAGCACCCGGGGCACGAACAGACTGTTAAACACATCTGAACACTCGGGAAAGGTCACTGGAATAAACAGGTACAGTCTAAATGCAATTTAGTTTGAGAAAAGACAAGTTAATTATAAACCAGGCTAATGGGGGGAAAAAATCATACTGAATTCACAAACAGCAAAACTGCATCTACAGTAGATACTGACCAGAGAAGTAATTAAAAAGGTCTAATATGCACACTGATCATGATCAAGCAACATGCAATTATTGTGTAACATGTAATACACACACCATATAAAAGTCAATCTTGAAAAAAGCTGCATGTTATGAAATGCTAATACATATGCATTTCAAGATCTAATCCCTTAAATCCAGATTGAAAGTCCAGGGTCCCTAAGCACATCTCCACAGATTATCGCTTTAATTACAAGTGGGGACAGATTAGGCTAAAGCAGAAAGAGAAAGAGGCTTCACACACTCACTTGCTGTCACAGAAACTTCAAGCTGAGCAATCTGCTGTCCTTTTGTGTTACTGCGCTTGGTTTTACTGAATTGGTTTAAGTAAACAAGCTCCAGGCTGTGTCTTAAAAGGCCCCTTGTTTGGCGCCTGGGTTCCCCGCCGTGGACGGCCCTCGTGAAAACGCCGGCGGCCGGCTCTCGCCCCGCTCCATCTTTGGCTGCTCCGCCGCATTCGAAGGCAGGCCGTGCTGCTTTGTGCGGAGGCAGGCCGTGCTGCTTTGTGCGGAGGCAGGCCGTGCTGCTTTGTGCGGGGAATTCTGCGGGTAGAGCTTCCCTGGGTGGAGTGTGCCCTCTTGTGACCGCACTGGGGACCTTCTTCCAGTAGCCTTCTGCACGGCTGCGAGACAGCCTGCCAAAACTGACCGATTCTGGCTACGGCCCGCTGGCGGACACCGTGCCGAGAGTGCAAGACTGCAGTGTCCTCCGTGCATCATTTTGATGGGGTTGCTATTAGAAACAAATTAAATAATAGATCATCCTGAACTATAGGTTGTAATTTAGGGAGTAGGGTTAGCATTTTAGATATCACTATGAAAAATAATGAAAAATAAAGGATGTCCAAGCATAATTATCATTTGGAGGTGTAATGTGCAGATGCTGCAACTTATGGTTTATCAGTTGACCAGAACAATATTACTTTACACACGTGGGGTAGGATGGCCAGGAGAGCTGAAGTACAGCAAGCCATGGGCATCTGAAGTTTCAACAAAGCATCGCAGGGATCAGATGACGAATAAAAATCACAATACAAATTTTAGGCTGGAGTTCTCTAATTTAAGGGAAATAATCTAAAATAAAGTTAATTGAATCGAACTGGGTTATGGAACAACAGAGTGCCTGTTGCTTTAGAGGATGCTGGACAACACAGTT